AGACACTGGATTGGGCTAATTTCTATGAGGAGTAAACCCAGTTTTGAGGCTAAATATATAAACCCACAAGTTGCAAACTGGTGCTGACTGCTACCATTAATAAAATATGTAAAAGTTTCTATTTAAATCTATTTTTTGACATTGGCAAACAAAAAAGCAATTAATAAAGAACTATATTTACTGCAGAAATCTGAAATCTTTCAAAAATATAAAATTATGAATCAACTTTTTAAATTAAAGAAAGAAAAAAATAAAGGTAAATAGAAAAAGAAAAAGTAGAGGAATTGCATGGAATAAAAAATAAAAAAATACTAGCAGACACCTATTGTAAATTGGTAAACATGTGTAAAAGGATCCCGAGTCGGTGAAGACTCCAAAGTACGTTTGTATTTATAAATATTTCAGACTAATGAATTGGTGGGATTCAATATCTATCTAATCCCCATAAGATACGCCCATTATTGAAACCATGGCCCATTCATCTAGTATTTGTTTTTTATGTGACCGTTATTACTCATTTGTCTCATTCTTAAATTAGTGAATGATAAATAAAGATCGTGTGTGTGATGGTTTTAGGTAAATGTCACTCAAAAGCAACAACTTTTTTGATAAAAGAAACATATATGTCCGTTGCTCCAACGACTCGTTGCCACGGTGGTTTGGCTAACTCCAAATTTTAATACGTAATGATTCGCAAAAGAAGTAGAAAACAAAATGTATTTTGTATAAAGTCTATCTATAAAGAGAGAGAATGTGCATGAAAATACGAAAGACAGAGAGAGGGGAAAACAACGAAGCAGGTGGCATAGGGAGAAGTGCCATGAGTCACGTGCCCTCCCACTCAACCACGTGCCGTCTAAGCAATCCCAATCCAACTCCGATTCGTGTTCTAATTTTCATTGGGGTCTAAACTTGATTAGTAGTATATACTTAGTACTAGTATAGTAGTATGTAATTAATTAATTAGTGTAATTACTAATTAGACACGCGCACACACGCAGTTCCAAATTTCATTGGAGTCTAAACTTGGCATTTGTACTACGGGGACCAAGATCCGTTATAGCTGTTAATTTTACTTATTAGGTAGAGTAGTTTATCCAACACACCAAGCATGCATTTAACGGTAATTGAGTGCTTTTGCTATAATCCTACCTACTATAAATAAAATTTATTAATATTCATATATTACAAATTAAGATCTGTATGTTTGTACTATCTACCGTATGTGACTTTTTCTTTTGGTGAAAAACCGATTTATTATCACTAATTTTCTACCACAAAAAGGTGTCGGTGGCACTCACTTCACTATTCCAAGGACAGTAAATTTTAATAACATAAGATTTATCTAAATAAAGAAAAAATAATAACAATATCACGTTAATTGGATTGTTCATTCTCATTTCAAACACTCGACCTTTTCTAAAAGAAACAAAAAAATGAATTAATTTGATTCTATCCAGCTCCTTCCAAAATGACCTAATTTTTAATATCCACATTAAACTCATCTGAATTTGGGTGTTTGTATGGCTCTGAATAATTTATAGTAGTCTATTGCATTTAACTGACGCAGACAAGATTCAATGCCATAAAATTTCTTCTTGGTTAGTTGGTGGAAAAAGTCAAAACTGAACTAATCCAACAAATATTCCTTATATGTGTAGTTTGGTGATGAAGTAAAGTCAAACTGTTTAATGTAAAAAAAAATTCTACATGACATACTAGTTTGATCAAAATATGAGTATACATGATCCATGTGAATAGGGATAATACTAATAGTCTTTCACTTAAATCTCGTGAGGTACATGAAGAACAAAAAAAAAATAGAGGAAGAGGAAGCAATTCAATTGTTAACACATGCTGATTGATAGATAACGTAAACTTTATGAAATAAAGTAAAAACAAAAAGTAATCAAATTAATTAAGTTAGAAAAAAAAAGGAAAAGTAAAAAAGTAGAGAGATTGTGATCATAAACCTTAATGATTATGTTTAAGTAGGCATCTTTTGCAGTGCAACCACATGCAAAGGCTTTAGGTTAATTAAAAGCAGTAGCTAATTATCCAATTTGGTGATCTCTAGTCTCACCTTCATGAGACAAACATAGGTCCCCTCCTCTGTCTGATCTAACAACCCAACTCCAAATTCTGCTTTATGGTAAATTAGATGAAAATCAATTGCCTTTTGGTGCCCAACAACCTCCATTTTCCTTCAGCTTCAAGGCTCATCATCATTACCACTTTCAAATTAACAGCTAGGAGTCTAGGACAGTGACATAAAAGACAGAAAATGGACCCAAGCATCAACAGCAGCAGAAGACGGAGAATTGGAGGAACCGCAGGCTCTGTTTGCGAAACGAGAATGCAGAGCGACGACGAAGTTAGTAATAACGCCATTGTTCTTCATGTTACAAACGAAGACAAGACTTCTTCTACTAAGCAAATGAGCTTAAAGGAGGAAGCTTTAGGGGTTAATGGAAAGAGACGGACTTGGAAGTCTAGAGCGTTCGATGTGAAGAACCCATCAACACTTGAGATTGTTCGAACCAATTCTTTGAAGGTGACGAGGCCGAGATCAATTGGTACTCCTCCGATGACGCCGAGGAGATCGTTATCTAGTAATGACTCCAATGAGAAGAGTCCGAGTTTGTCGGTGGCGGCGAAGAAGGCGAGATCTGATTCTGTAGAGGGGATTGAGAAGACTACTCCGGGTCGGGTTAAGAAGACCCGATCGGAGCTCTGCACGACGATCGTTAAAGCCGGTGAATTTGATTCAGTTGCGTTGAGGAAAGTGAGCTCATTGCCAGTTCCTAATTCTGAGAAATCTGATAAGAAAACAGAGCATGTAGTTGATGTACCGAAAGAGGAGACTATCAATGAGAATTCAAAGATCCCAGAAGAAGTCAAGGAGTTTGGTGTTTGTCAGGAGATGATCGTATCTGCTAAATCGAACGAAGATGAGCAGATCAATGATGGCGATCACGAGGAAGATGATGAAGAAGAGAAAGAAGAAGAAGTGGAGAAGAAGAGTGTTGATGTGAAAGAGATGAATGTAGCCAAGGAGAACAGAGTTGGTGTTGAGATTAAAAAGTTGAGTCAATTCCAAAACAGAACATCTCCATCTCCGTCGTCCATTCGTAAAATTTCACCTCCGGTGATCAAAAGGGCAACTTCCGTTTACTCGGTCCCACCAAATTCTACTTCAAGCACAGGTTTTTTAATCCGAATTTCAATGTTTTGTTTTATCGGCCGCTATTCGCCTACTCAATTTCGATGAATCCTCTGTTTTTCACGACTGTTTCCAGATAGATTTGCAGAGCAAGAAGACAACTTTACTCAGTCGCAGAGCAAATTGCAGAGTCTGGGTGAGATTCTCACTCAATAGTTTACCCTGCATAATTCCATATGATTCATTCTGTTCAGTAAAATACATAATTTTTACTCTGAAAATTCTAAATTCTCAAATGAAATTTGGACAGTGGATCTAGTGATGTGGAGAGATGTATCAAGGTCGACGCTTGTGTTCGGCTTTGGGACATTCCTCATCATCTCTTCTTCCTACGCCAATGATCTCAATTTCAGGTTTTTTTTTTTTCTTTTCTCAATTGATCAAGGAGATGACACACATGTTAGTTTTAACTTTTAAGTAGTATGAAACTAAAATGTGAATGAATATGTACAGCTTCATATCGGTGGTGGCGTACATGGGACTCATATATCTCGGCCTCATGTTCGTATTAAAATCACTGATCCACAGGTTTGATACATAGAATAGACCCATTTTTCTCTTTCTCTCTCTCTCTTTTTTTATCTTTGCATGTTGTTTCTGTGATTGTGTTTGAAACGCAATAATAATGGACGCAGGGGAATGGTGGAGGAGGAGAGACATAAAGTGGTTGGAGTTAGAGAAGAAGATGTCAAGAGGATGCTCAGACTCATAATGCCTTACCTCAACGAGTCTCTGCATCAACTCAGAGCTCTCTTCTCCGGTGATCCATCCACCACCCTCAAGGTAAGTCTTGTTCTTTCTTTCTCTCCATCGTTTCCTCTTTCTCCCTTGAACTAAATGAAGAGGAGATGATGTTTTGCAGATGGGAGTGGTGTTGTTTGTCTTGGCCAGGTGTGGCTCTTCTATCACTCTTTGGAACCTTGCCAAATTTGGTACCTTCACAACTCTAGACATTCAAGAATTCTTGTTTTAAGAAGTGGTGTGTGTAGATTTCTGACTTGTGAGTGTTTGTTTACGTGAGGACAGGCTTTTTAGGAGCATTTACAGTGCCTAAAATCTTCATATCATACTCAACCCACTTCTCCGCTTACGGTAAAACTCCTTTTGTATCTTTCAGTTACATCTTCCTTGAGACATTTTAATCAAACAAAGTTGTGTACATTCAGGAAATTTCTGGATGAGGAGATTCAGGGACGCATGGGAATCTTGCAATCACAAAAAGGCGGTGTCTTTGGCGCTCTTCACCCTCGTGTGGAACCTCTCCTCCGTCACTGCCCGTGTTTGGGCAGCATTCATGTTACTAGTCGCCTTCAGATATTATCAACATAAGATGATTTGGACGACTGATCAAGCTGATGATGATGATGATGAAAATGTAGTAGACGAAGAAGAAGAAGAAGAAGAAGAAAAAGAACAAGTCCCTAAACACAAAATGGCTCCTCATATGATGATGCCTAATAAACTCAAGAAAATTTCCTAATTGTTTGTCCTCCCATATATAAACAACATTTACTATGTAATTTCTTTAATTTTTAGTTAGGGTTCCTCTGATACTTCTCTATACACAGCTTCTATACAGTTAATAATGTGAATCTGATACTTGTTCTTCTAAGTAGTATCTACTATCTAACTCAAAGCTGCAAACTTGTTTTTCCATTCTCTTAAACTTGGTTAGGCTTGCGTAATCCAAGACATAATAATCTTAATTAGGCTTCTAATGGGCCCAAAACGGGCCTTATTACATAAACTAATCAGCTTTCGTGAAATAACAAATCGGAGAGAAGTTGAAAGCTTTACTTTTTCACTTTCACGGTTGCACACCGTCGCGGCATCTCCACTCTTTCCTCTCAAAACTCAGAATCACGATTTTGAGGTTCTCTCGCCTCAGGCGAACAAGTTTAAGGTATCACTCTCCATGTTTCTCTACGATTTCAATTCGAATTCCATGTGATTTTTTGTCTCTGTTTGTGTTTAATTTAGGGTTTAGTCAATTCGTGACTTTGATTTGCGTCCATTCTGGAAATTTCTCAGATTTTAGTTCTTGTTGTGAGTGGGTTTCAGATGAGCGTAGCAAGTGATTCTCCAGTTCATTCATCAAGTAGTAGTGACGATCTTGCTGCATTCCTTGATGCTGAACTGGACTCTGCCTCAGATGCTTCTTCTGGACCCAGCGAAGAAGAAGAAGAAGCCGAGGATGATGAAGAATCTGGGTAAATTTCACTCTCATTATGTCATGCATTCTCTCTTATTGAATCTTCAAACTCTCTACTGGTATTTACAGTGTGTGTGTATATTTTGTCAAACCATGTTTCTCAATCATCTTTTAGGTTAAAGAGACGAAAGTTAGAGCATTTAGAAACTGTAGACGAAGAGGAGATTGAGGGTGAAGCTCGCTTTATTCATTCAGCCTTATTTTGTTATCTGTCGTTTGTTCTATTTATATCAAATTTTGAAACTGTCATGCTCGCAGAAGCATCCTCAAGTAAAGGTGAATGCCAGCACCCAGGATCATTTGGGAATATGTGTTTCGTCTGTGGACAAAAGTTGGAAGAAACCGGTGTTTCATTTAGATACATACACAAGGTATCCCAATTTATTCAATTACCTTACAAATTTCCCTTAAATCAAGTCTTGGTATATTTATTAATGAGCTTTGAGAAATCTGTTTTCTTAGGAAATGAGGCTCAATGAAGATGAAATCTCCCGGTTGCGTGATTCAGATTCGAGATTCTTGCAACGCCAGCGGAAGTTGTATTTAGTTCTCGATCTAGACCACACACTGCTTAATTCAACCGTACTAAGGGACCTGAAACCAGAGGAGGAATACTTGAAAAGCCATACACATTCTCTTCAAGGTGATACATTCAGCTACATTGTTTTGCTTCTTTTCTATCAAATGTGATCTTTGTGCATGGAACTTCATCTTGGATTTTTCCTTCTGTTGGTCCACGTAGATGGTTGCATGTGTTGTACTTCTAAGAACCTTTTGATTTTTTGTTAATCTCAGATGTTTCCGGAGGCAGTCTTTTCATGCTGGAATTTATGCACATGATGACCAAACTGAGGCCATTTGTTCACTCATTTCTAAAAGAAGCCAGTGAGATGTTTGTGATGTACATATACACAATGGGAGATAGGGCATATGCGCGACAGATGGCGAAGCTACTGGACCCCAGAGGAGAGTACTTTGGTGATCGGATCATTTCTCGGGATGACGGCACAGTGAGACATCAAAAGAGTCTAGATGTGGTGCTTGGACAAGAAAGTGCTGTTCTGATTCTTGACGATACAGAGAATGTAAGTATGTTGTGTGATTTGTCAATGTTTCAACTTTCATGTAACTTTTAATCAGGATATTGAGTTGTACTGATGATACTTGGTTTGATGCACAGGCGTGGCCAAATCACAAGGACAATTTGATTGTGATAGAGAGGTATCACTTTTTCGCTTCGAGCTGCAGACAGTTTGATCACAAATACAAGTCTCTATCGGAGTTGAAGAGCGATGAGAGTGAACCAGATGGGGCACTTGCAACAGTTCTGAAAGTCCTAAAACAAGCGCATGCTCTATTCTTTGAGGCATGCCCAAATATATATACATACTGGATCTAAATAAAACTTATATTTTGACTAGTTTGTTTTTTTGATTGTTAATGTTTCTTTCAGAATGTGGATGAAGACATATCAAACAGAGATGTTAGGTCAATGCTGAAACAAGTGCGTAAAGAGGTACTCAAAGGATGTAAAGTAGTGTTCAGTCGGGTGTTCCCAACCAAGGCTAAGCCAGAAGATCACCCTCTGTGGAAGATGGCTGAAGAACTAGGAGCCACCTGTGCAACGGAAGTGGATGCATCAGTGACACACGTGGTGGCTATGGATGTGGGAACAGAGAAGGCACGTTGGGCAGTAAGAGAGAAGAAGTATGTGGTTCATAGAGGATGGATAGATGCAGCTAATTACCTGTGGAAGAAGCAGCCAGAAGAGAAGTTCAGTTTAGAGCAGCTCAAGAAGCAACAAGTAGCGGAAGAAGAGTGATTTATAATGAGAAAGAAGTGATGACTTTGTTGTTTAATTGATTATGAATCTATGTCCAAAGTAAAGTTTTGTAATGTACATTATATCTGATCTTTCTCATATTTCAACAAGGTCCTAATTTTGTTCATTGCTTCGTCTATGCTTGTTTGACAAGGTCAAGGTGACAACTTTGTTGGGCCGGGCCTAACTGGGCCGTATATTTATGTCCCTCGTCTAGTTTCATTTGTCTGTTTGTTTCTGGTTCTGTTTCCGTCTTCTTCGCTTAGACATCCATGGCTCTCGATACGTACGCGTCGTCGAACCCTAATGAGGTTCATGAGGATGTTCTTCTTAAAGCTAGAGATGCTTGCTACAAGGTCCCTCTTTCTCTTTCTCTCTGCTTTTCGTTGTTGTGAATATATACTGATTGGTGATTATTAGGTTAAAAAAATGTAATCGTTGGAGTGATCCTTAAATTGGTGCAGGCCAGAGATGCTTTTTACGCTTGTCTAGAAAAGGAATCTGGTAAAAAACCAACTGAAATCGCGACCGTTGGTCTTCTCTACCCTAAGGAGTGTAGCAATTCTAGAACCCAATTCGTCAACAACTGTCGCTCCTCTTGGGTACTACTCTCTTTCAATTTAGTTTTGCAAATTGCAATCTTTGTTTGATTTGCTTGGGAATTAATGGAATCGAATGAGAGAATTTGCAGGTGAAGCATTTCGATAGAGAGTACTGTAGAAACAAGAGAGTTCAAAGGCTGTTGGATGATGGAGATGAGAGGAAAGGTCCAATGTCACTTCCTCAGCCTTACACTTTCAAGCCTTCCCCTTCCACTTAGAGTCCTTCCTTTCCTGGTATTTCTTAATTCTTTCTCAACCTGTCCTTATTTGACTTCATTCCCAGATTCTTTAATGTTTTCTATGTTTGCATACTTCCTTTATGTTCTGTGTTCTTACCATTATTCTTATGATCAAGCTTTTTACCTTGTTTTTGAGTAGATCATTCAGGGTAGCTTTTGTTTGTCTTTGTCAGGTGTTAAGGACTCTCTCTCTATTGAGGAAGATTACAATGGTCAAATACTGTTCCTGAATCATTTTCTTTGCCTAGTGTTTAGATCTTATTTGCGTTGTAAGCCTTTTTCCATGGGAATAAAGTCGCACATTTCAAGACCCTGATTATTTGCCTTTATTTCTATTGCACAAAACGTTTGTTGATCAATCTGCAAGTATCTAGTACACACTATTCTGAGTTGCATTATATGTGTGTATAGAACCTGATTGTTTGGATGTGCAACTGATTGTTCATAAGTGTTCAAGAAACTTAGGAAAGTTAGGCGTGTGTGTTTTCTTCTGCCAGGGGTCTTTATTCGCAATTTTGGTATCGAAATTAGCGGGGCCGGTTCAAGAATTTGGGCCTATCTATAATAATTACGAGAAAGTTGAAGAATCTTCGACTTGAATATTATACTGTTTCCACGAACCACGACTGAGCCAACAATGTTAAGACACTAGTTTCGTTAAACACGTTGACACAGCGATTTGGGAAGGTAGTGGAACGCATGTCTCTAACTTTCCGGTCCCACCACCCACACACGTATACGAATGTTCCGGTCTTGTCGGTTTTGTTCTTTGTCGTAACCGTTTTATATTATTTTTGCTTAACAGTGAAAATAGTAAAAAGATTGGGAGTGTTTGACTTAAACTGAGAAAATGAAACACATGAGTATTCTATGGTTCAGGCCTTGGAGGCAGATACATCATCCATAGTAGAGGAGGCTTCAGGTGCAGCAACTGCAGTTGCTGTTACATTTGAATCCTCTGCTGCTACGGCATTGGAGATGGGGTTAAAGAGAGATCCACGAGAGTGAGTAGTTGATGATGATATCGCGGTTGCGAGAGAGATTGGCATTAAGCAAAGCCCCTTCCCTTGAAGATACTGCATTGCTGATCCCATATCTTCTTCCATCAGTTTTGCCACTCTTTGTTCTGTTGACCTTAGGCTCTCATTGGATGATCCTGTAACGTTTCCATTCCCATTTAAGCCATTGCACGGTGCAGTGAGGGCATTGAGCCGTCCTCCAGCCTACATTATCAAAAACCATGATTATGATGGTGATTGGTGATGCCACTATACAGATGTAGAAAGCCATAGGAGACTAAGAAACTGACCTCTGCGGAGAGACCATTTAGGCGTGGACCAACTGCTCCTGCACCTCCCAATCTGCTCATGCTTAGTACTTTGACTTGAAGCTGAAGGAACCTAACATATTCGATGATCTCGTCCAACATTGATGCCTTATCCGTCTGCATCTCATCATCAACCAATTCGGTTATTATTCAGATCAAGACAAGAGTTATAAACCAAGAAAGTAGTGAGTACCTTGTTGGTGTTGGGAACCAGTTCTTGGAGAGACTTCATACGCTCTGCGATACGTTCCCTCCTTAGCTGTCCAAAACCATACAATCAGAAACACAATATAAGACAAGGAAGGAGATGGAGGAAGTGAATAATGAGATACCCTCTCAGCGATACTGTGAGGATCGGTGGCTTGGCCTCTCCTGGCTCGAACCCTTGGCTTTTGACGAACAACAGGTGCGCTCGTGGTCGACACTGTCCCTTGTGCCTGTAACCCTTCTTGGCTTCCCATTGTTGGACCACCTGACTCCTGCATTGACAACAACAACACAAAAAGATCAGAAACATTCTTAGATTTTGAGGGTTATGATGTAAGATGATAATTTTGGCACCTGAGGGTGATGGAACTGGTCGGGGAAGGGAGCATCGACGGCGAGAGCATGGAAAAGAGATTGCGGTGGAGGAGGAGGAGGAGGAAGAGATGGATCCCAACAAGGAGGGAGAGAGGAGAGCATTGACATGGAATCAAGGAAGAAGTCATTGTTTTGGTTTATGAACTCTCCCTTTCCTTCTCCATTCCCATTTTCCATCTCTTCTTCTTCTTCTTCTTCTGTCTTCTTCCTCTGTTCCCTCCCCTGTTTTTATTCTTTCAAAACATTTTGATTTCTAATTTTTTAATTTAATTGCCGTTTCTTTTTCCTTTTTTAATATTTACTCCCTTAAATATTTTAGTATATTAATATGTATCTCGAATCTCTCAAATATTATCTCACAAAAGTCGTACGTCGCCGGCCTCTTTGTATAATTGTTTTTTGTTGTTAAATTATCCTAAAAATCTAAAATCCAATTCTCTATTTAATCGAATCTGTATACAATCCATATTTTACATTTTTTTTGGTTTTCATTTACTTCAAATTTATAATCTTCATATCTTATAAACGTTTTGTCCTTTCGATTGATTAAAATGTTCTCAATTTTGCATTTAATCATATTTTGAAAACAAATTTATGCAAATTCAAAAAAATAAAAACCAAATTATAGCGCGAGAAAACATCGCTGTAAATGAAAAGGCCCAAACCCACAGAGAAATCGTTAAGCTCAAAGCCCAAATCTCAAGTGGCCCACTTCATTGATAAGTCGGTCCAGCTTATATACACTCAAACTTACTTTGATTTCCTTTTTCATCTTCTCTCTCCTCGACCCCTAAATTTTCAATCACCGACCAAAATTGATCGGAAACCTAGAGCTCTTCGTATTGTTCCGCCACCATGCATTGCCGGCGCCAGATCTTCGTCAAATCTCCAGACTGTCAACAAGTCTTCGCTCTGCAATTGGATCCTTCGCAATCTGTATTAACTCTTTCCGGTATCACTTCCTTACTCGAATCGTCGCAGCGTAATTCGTTATCGGATTTCTCCGTTGCTCTAGATGGGAAGCTTTTGAATGGCTCTACACGGATCCAAGTATCTAAGCTTCCTTCTGTATCCATGCTCACTCTGTTCCCTCGCTTCCGTGGAGGTGGAGGAGATGGAGGTGCGACGGGAGCCGAATCTCGCGATTGCTACCTGAATATGTACGCGGAGAAGAAACCTGACAAGGTTGATCCGAATGAGCAGAGGCTCTCCAAATGGTTGAATTGTGCTTTGTCTAACGAACCTTTGGCTGAGCCTTGCGTGATTGATCTACTCGGGAATTTGTTCAATAAAGAAGCTTTGGTACACGCTTTGTTATCTAAGAGGTTGCCTAAGCAATTCTCGTACATTAAGGGCTTGAAAGATATGGTGAATATTAAGCTTACGCCTGTTGCTGGTTCTGATGGATCATCGCAAGATACGACTAGTTCCCAGTTTCAGTGTCCGGTCTCAGGGCTTGAATTTAACGGAAAGTACAAGTTTTTCGCTTTGAGGGGATGCGGACATGTGATGAGTGCAAAGGCGTTGAAGGAAGTGAAGTCTTCGTCTTGTTTGGTGTGTCACGCGGATGTCAAAGATTCTGACAAGATTGTGATCAATGGTACAGAGGAGGAAGTGGATTTGTTGAGGGAGAGGATGGAGGAGGAGAAAGCTAAGCTGAGAGAGAAGAAAGGTGTCTCAAAGAAGAGCAAGAACGGTGCTGCTGTGGTTGCTGATACAGGAGCAAAGGTCGCTAAGAGACAGATGGATGATGGGAATGTCAATGGAAATGGTATCACTGTGAAGAAATTCAAGGCGGGGGATAAAGTGCCGGTTAATGCTACTAAGGAAGTCTATGCTTCTCTCTTTACTTCCTCCAAGAAGAAGTCTGATTTCAAGGAGACTTACTCTTGCAGGTCAATTCCTCTTGGCAGGAACTGATTTGTTGGACAAATGTTGTTTACCTTGCTTGCTTCATTTGCTCTGTAATCTGTTCTGATTATATTGATATATCAACTTGCTTTGTAATTTCGCCACTGGATAATATAATGTGTTTCTTTTTCTTTCGCAATTGGTAAAAACATAAACATGTTTGCATCCACAGTGCTTAAAACTAGTAAAGTGTTGTATCATAAGTTGCAATTGTAAGGATATGTATGTTGTTTACATCCATGCACGGGACAATGGCTTTGCAGCTCAAATCAAAATGTTATATAGTCATCCAAAAACAGATAGCAGATTTGCACAAGCAGTTCACATAAAGCCAATAGTTCCCAGATCATGGCAACTCGTGACCATAGTGCTCTCATTGACTTAGCCGTGCCTCTCTTTTAAGCACCTGTGAAGCATAGATGGAAGAATAAAACAACTATCAAGATTAAGTTTTTTCCACAGAGCTAGTTGAGGAAAAGAGATGAATGTAGGCATTAACCTCCTCAGCAAACTTGATCAAAATGGTAGTTCGAGGACGTTGTTGTCCTTCAATGGGTACAAAATGAGCCGTTACCACAGCAGGAAACCCAGCATTATCCAAAACTCCCTGCATAGAGGAAACCGTGTCTGGCTCATTATTCTCTTCCTCAACCAATAATTTAAATACTATTCACGAATATGTCAAGGGAGCACTCACCTTCACTATGCCGGCGACGAACGCCCCGCAGTTGAATGTTCCCATGTCTTTTGGAATCGAAATGAACCTACACTTCCATATTTGTTATCAGTTTTCTTCACCATAAACAATCGCATTATCTCAAAAGTGTTTATGGAAAGTGCTGGAGCAGTCTAAACCTGTTGACGAGAAGCTCCTTTTCACTGATCATGTACTCATCTTCATGTTCTGTTCCTTTTTCAAGTGAATCAGCAACCTATGGAATGTTCGTTAAGGGAGAGTTAGAATCCAGAAACAGGCATGTCCATAGAAAGACTCAATAACCAATTCAATTTGAAATCACCACTCACCTTTCCAAACAACACTTTCCACACTGTACTGTGGACGAAAGACAGAATCCCCAGTAACCGTGTCTCTCTTCGGTTTCCCTGAAACAATAAGATAATATGTCCATAACAAAGAGCGACAGTTGATAGAGCTCTGCATTGCTCTTACTTGAACAAAACTTATAAGAAAGGGAACGTTTTCTTTTCAGTCTTTTAGGCAACACATAAAAGTAAGAATAAGATTGCAAAAACAGGATATACCTTCTCCCGGTTGCAAAGAAGCTCTAGAACTCGAGATCCAACTGCATACCCAGCATCCTCTAGTCTGATAGCCATCATTAAGAAAATAAGAACACATTGTTGGGTGATGGAATGTGAATGATTCAGAGTAAGAAAACCAAATCATAAGTTGTTCAGAGAAACCAATCAGCTCACCTTCTTTCAAGTTCAGCTATATTGTCAACCTGGGTTTGATTGTACTGAACGAGCTCCGAGAATAAGAAAGCAAATGCGGTCAAGCTCACCTACAACACAAGTACAATTCCAAAAGAACTAAAAATTTTCAGCAGATGCTCGAAAGTGAATGATCACAATAAAGAGATCAAAGAGGAAGATCGAAAGCCGAG